AGGAAATAGGAGAATATAGGTCCAGGAAATAGGAGAATATTGGTCCAGGAAATAGGATAATACAAGTCCAGGAAATAGGAGAATAAAGGTCCATGAACTAGAAGAATATATATCCAGGAAATAGGAGAATATTGGTCCAGGAAATAGGAGAATATTGGTCCAGGAAATAGGAGAATATAAGTCCAGGAAGTAGGAGAATATAGGTCCAGGAAATAGGAGAATATAGGTCCAGGAAATAGGAGAATATTGGTCCAGGAAATAGGAGAATACAAGTCTAGGAAATAGGAGAATACAAGTCCAGGAAATAGGAGAATATATGTCCAGGAAATAGGAGAATATAGGTCCAGGAAATAGGAGATTATTGGTCCAGGAAATAGGAGAATACAAGTCTAGGAAATAGAATAATACAAGTCCAGGAAATAGGAGAATATAGGTCCAGGAAATTGAAGAATATAGTTCTAGGAAATTGAAGACTATAGGTCCAGGAATTGAGAGAATACAGGTCCAGAAATTGAGAGAATACAGGTCCAGAAAACGTTTTTTTGTCCGTTAAATAGTTGAATGTTTGCACGGTCAGAAAATAATAAAAAAACAAAACAATTTATGTTTTGAGAAATCACACAATTTACAAAATATTAAGACGACCTGTCCATTTAAAAGTGTCCATGTTTAGTGCATGACATACTGTATAAAAATAAACAATTACAAGTTTAAAATGTCGTCGTACTTTTGTCAATAATATAAATCCAGGGGAACAATGGAACCGTTCTTATCTCAGAAGATAAGAGTTAGAATTAGTCACAAAGTATTTGAATAAAATCATTAGGTTCAGAAGCACAATTCAGTAAACTTACAGTTTTTCACGAATTAGTTAGTATTTAGTTTAATATATTCATTAGGTTTACAAGCACAATTCAGTAAACTTACAGTTTTTCACGAATTAGTTAGTATGTTGTTTAATATATTCATTAGGTTTACAGCACAATTCAGTGAACTTACAGTTTTGCATGAATTAGTTAGTATGTTGTTTAATATATTCATTAGGTTTACAAGTACAATGAAGAAAACTTACAATTGTTCATGAATTAGTTGGTAAGTAGCTTAATATATTCATTAGGTTTACAAGCACAATTCAATGAACGTACAGTTTTACATGAATTAGTTAGTAGTTAGTTTAATATATACAACCAGAATATATACAACCAAAATTTTAAAAAATCGAATTTTGTTAGAAGCAAATTTTTGAAAATTCAATCATCCATAAACCTTCCCTGGGGTCAAACGAGGCCCCACAAAAAAATTATATATAGATACATTAGTTTTACAAGCACAATTCAGTGAACTTACAGTTTTTTCATGTGAATTATATTTTTAAAAAATTATTAGAGTTTATCATATTTTTTGCTGAATTTTGTTTTCTAAGTGAATTATATTCATTTTTACATAGTAAATAGCAAATAGGATATAAGCTTTAATATATTTTTTAATTCTACAATTACAATTAATTGAATTTACAGTTTTTTCAACTTGAGTTACAGGATTACCCAGAAAGGAAGAAACTTCAGAGACGACTGTGCGGATTTTTTTTTACAATTCTTTTTACATTCTTTGATTTTAGTCAAAATACATTTACATCGTTACATCTATGTGGGAAACCTTGTAAAATATATATCAAGTTTTACCATGAACTAAATGAATTTGTAAACTTTAAAATTAAAAAAAAAAATAAGAAAAGCAAAAGTAAATTTAAAGCCTTCTTATGTCATTTTTTTATTGCAACATTCTGAGCATAATTTTATTATTGTATCACTTCACAATCATTGTTTGCAAATATTTCAGAGTAAATATAGTGACGCAATAAAGTGCTTATATGTGACGCATATATTAAACTTGGAATAGATTATTTGTCAAGGTTATAAAATGTTTCTATTTCTACTTCTAGTTCTGGTTCACTCAGTGCAGCCTTTCAGGTTGGTTTTTTAATTGTATTTGTCCGATACCACGATGAAAATGACGCCACGATGTAAGTGAATCTTGCGCAGTGTTACTGCGTGTAATTCTCTACTCAATACTCTCGTTATTTGTTAATTATTGATGGAAGACGACAACCTAGGCTGCTTTTTCACATTCTTTTGAAGTTGAATCAGCCCCAGCTAAGAAACTTTAGTTGTAAAGTGGTTTATCCAAGTCTTCTAAACCTTTGACTGAAACCATTGTAATTGATACTAATTTATTTAGCGAGCTGTTTTGTATTACAACTGGGGTTTCCATTCGGAATTGTGCAATAATTGAGCAAATTTTGATCTGTATAGCTGGGTAGCTTATCTAAAAATAATCCAAACATATATTTGTTGCATGTCACGATAAAAAATCTTGTTGGTTGGACAACAAATTATTTTCAGGTTTCTCTGTTATAATGGATATCAGAAGAATTATATCAATTCTTCTGATATTTTCAAATTCTATAACAAAAAGAAGTGTGATTAGCGGTGGCTGGTGCAAAATTTTACTTTTTTTGTATTCCATTGGCCCAAAAAAAATCCGCAAACTTTTTTTCTCTAAAAATAAAAAGTTTAGAAGAGCAAAAATGTGTATTTAACTTATTTCAATCGAAATCTAAAATTTTATAAAGATTGAATCACAGAATCACAGAAAATTCGCAAAATTGTAATGAGAAAATTTGCAATTTTCAGTTCTGGCCTTAATTTTAATGTTTATTGTTTTTCAATGGCTCTTCAGCTTTTAACTGAACAGCGTATATTTAAAACTTTAGAATATGAACTGACCAGAAATGAAAATTGCGACTTTTCTTTTTAAGATTTTGCGAATTTTCTGTGATTCTCGGTTTCAATCTTTATAAAATTTAAGATTTTGCCTTTCTAAACTTTTGATTTTGAGAGAAAAAAGGTTCACGGTTTTTTTTTCAAGCCATTGGAATACCAAAAAAAAATAAAATAAATTTCAAAACAGTCGCCCAAAAAAGGTACAATTTTGCACCAGGCGCAGCTAATTACACTTTTTTTTGGGAAAGACTTTACTAATATTCCAATCAAATTCTAAAACAAAATTTGGGTAAATTTTCCCAATTTTTAATAGAAAGTTTTCCAGAGGCCGCGATTTAAAAGCTTCAGCTCGGGTCAAAATTCCTTAAACTTAAAAGAGTTTTTGGCATAGTGTCAGAAAATTAAGTAAATGATATACACCCGTTTATTTTTAACGAACACTTAAATTTAATTTCGCCATTTTTGTTTTTAGTATAACTACAACTACTGCCAGTTCTGGTCAAACTATAGATAAACCGGCAAATAGTGGGAAAAATGGTAAGTTTATTTTCTAAAAAATTGATATTTTTTTGGGACTCTTAAAGATCTGAATTAATGACTTATTGAACTGTTTATTATTATTTTTATTTATTACAAAAGGATTTCAATATTTGAAATGAATTTTTTTGAATTATTTCATTTGATGCTAACGCTGCCAAAGTGACATCCGCATTTATTGCTTCGGCAACAATGTATAAATTATAAGAATTAAACACTTTTCAAGTCAGAAAACGTTGTAAATTGGGTATCCCCTTTTTAATTCAGACACGAGGTGTACTCATAGAGAATAGAATATATATTAGAATATTAGAGCCTTAGAGGGGAAATTTAGAGAATCTCTCGGTATGAATTTTTTCAGTCTCTTTCAGCCTGAAATGGAGTTTAAAGTGTACAAATCATGTAAATGTTCACAAATTCTATGCAGTAGAGTACATTAATACAGTATGTTCCCTAGACTATTCATTTCAATTCGAATTTTTAAAGCTGTTAAATAAAACTTAATAATGAATTAGGTGAATAAAAAACATCATTTAATTTATAGTTATAACGGAAAATCATCGTTTGTAAAGTGAAATGATCATTGGTCAATTATGAAACCAGCCTATTTCATTATTTGGTTTTCTTTTAACATTAATTTTAGATTTTCTATAAAATGATGTTCCAGGGCCCAAAAGGTTATATAGCATAAATATGTGAAGTACACCTGCAGTATGGAAACAGTACAACAAAATGGCCGTTTAACACTTTTTTTCTAGTAAATTCCCCTCTAATATATATTCTAATCTCTTTGGGTATGCTCCATTTATAGATTTCCCTGCTTTTCCTGCTTTCCCTGCTTTTCCTGCTTTTCCTGCTTTTCCTGCTTTCCCTGCTTTCCCTGCGTTTTCTGCTTTTCCTGCTTTTCCTGCTTTCCCTGCTTTCCCTGCTTTTCCTGCTTTTCCTGCTTTTCCTGCTTTTCCTGCTTTCCCTGCTTTCCCTGCTTTCCCTGCTTTTTCTGCTTTTTCTGCTTTTTCTGCTTTTCCTGCTTTTTCTCTAATTTCATGTAATGTATTAAATCACAAAAATTGTTGATCAATAATCAAAGAGAATAGAATATATATTAGAGGGGAATTTACAGAATCTCTCAGTATGAATTTGTTCAGTCCCTTTCAGCCTGAAAGGGAGTTCAAAGTGTACAAATCATGTAAACTTTCACAAATTATATGCAGTAGTATACATTAATACAGTATGTTCCCTTCTGTCTATTTCAATTTCGAATTTTTAAAGCTTCATAATGAATTAGGTGAATAAAAAACATCATTTGATTTATAGTTATAACGGAAAAACATCGATTGTAAAGTGAAAGGCATAGAGTCTAAGTGAAATAATCATTGGTCAATTATGAAACCAGCCTATTTCAAAATTTGGTTTTCTTTTAATATTAATTTTAGATTTTCTATAAAATGAGGTTCCAGGGCCCAAAAGGTAATATAGCACAAATATGTGAAGTACAGTATGGAAACAGTACAACAAAATGGCCGTTTTACACTTTTTTCTAGTAAATTCCCCTCTAATATATATTCTATTCTCTTTGTCAATAATGGTAAACTTTTATTTCTAATAATATTTTTTTGATACACTCCTTGTAAGTGGAAATATTAATCTATAATCTTAATCTTGATTGTCATGTTTAGAAGGAAACCATGTCATGTATTTTCATTAAAAATTACTGGATTATTTTTTGCTCAAGCTGTGACTCTATCTTGTCGCCTGGAACTGAGTCCTGGGGACCACTGGACCTCTTGTGCCTGGTCCCACGTCTTTCCTGATGTTTGGGTAGGATATTTAACTTTGGACTCCAAGAATAATTTGATCAACAAAAGATACAGAGTAAATTGTAAGCAGAAAATCCGATTGTTATCCTTGCTGAACACTCAAATAAAATTTGGTTTATGATAAATATGCGCAGTTCACCTATAGTCCTGTTATTGGTCAATTTTTCGTCTCTCTGTCCAACATTTAGTCGATAGGGGCAAAAAACTGAACAACGCAAAACATTCTAATTTTCAAAATCCCTCTGTCTTTTCAACTAATATATTTCTCATTTCTATTTGATTAAAATGGCTGAAGATTTTTAGTATTAAAGGGGAATATCATCATGTTGCAAAGATATAAGGATTAGAAAATTAGATATTGCGGTGAGTAATCAGTTCCTTTACATTACCAGAAGAGAATCAGCCTTGACGTTTATGGCCTATAGCCTAGGTAAAAGATGTACTTTCAGGAATATTAAAAGGCATTAGTGCATTATCAACTTTTACAATAATTTATCATTTACATTTCGATTCGCATAGAAAAAATTTTTTCCTAGAAAACATAAAGTTTGTAATTTTCTGGGACAAATCAAAATAGTTTTTTTTCAATCAAGATCCAAGTCCTTCTATGTCAGATAAAGGGCCAGGCTGTATTGTCGGAAATTGTTCATCTCTTTAAGCAGTTTCTGTCTAGGGTCTAACGAACAGTCCTGGGTATGTGATGTGCACAGTGAGTAGTATTAACGGAGATGGAGCCCCTTGTCAGGATGTGGGAAATCTTAAAGGAACGGTAAGACAATAATGTTTAAAGGAACAGTAGGAAAATAATATTTAAAGGAACAGTAGGAACATAATATTTAAAGGAACAGTAGGAACATAATATTTAAAGGAACAGTAGGAAAATAATAGTTAAAGGAACAGTAGGAAATTGATATTTAAAGGAACAGTAGGAAAATGATATTTAAAGGAACAGTAGGAAAATAATATTTAATGGAACTGTAGGAAAACAATATTTAAAGGAACAGAAGGAAAATAATATTTAAAGGAACAGTAGGAAAAATAATATTTAAAGGAACTGTAGGAAAACAATATTTAAAGGAACAGTAGGAAAATAATATTTAAAGGAACTGTAGGAAAACAATATTTAAAGGAACAGTAGGAAAATAATATTTAATGGGTTAAATCAATTTTTATTAAGAAGTCCGATTAAATTGGTCTTTTATGTAGATTTAGGTTGCACAAGCAGATATGCATGCTAAAACTAATATAAAATTGGGATACATAGAATACAAAGGAACTTATTCCTTGCCTCATCATATCATATCTAATCTTATAATCATTATATCTTTGCAATCTTATTAGTTATTTATTCTTTTAAATTAAGTCGTCATAGTTTGAAAAGCATCAGGTTCAGGTTGCAAAGATATAGGAATTATAAATTAGAAAATGAAAAAAATTCTTTAAGAAACTCAAATTTGTTAATCCCCATATCTTTTTAATCTAATGTTTTTAACCTTTGATATTTCAATTTTAGATTATTTGATTATTAGAATAGAATTGATAGTGTGAAATATCTAAGGTCTACAACAATGGATTGCAAAGATATAAGAATTAGAAAATTGGAGTATGTGGCAAAGAATCAATTCTTTTTCTTACTTGTAGTATGATGGAGCATACGATACGGGTAATGCCTGGGTTGGATCCTACGTATCTCGTATATCTCATGATGTTACTGAGAACTCCTGTGGACTAACTATCAATAGTCCGAATGCAAATGATACAGGTAAAAAAACGGATAAATCTCCAGAAACTGAAACATTTTCTGATCTTTATATCTTTTCAATTTGATGGATCTTAGACCACTGATGATTCAATAAATGCTGCTAGATCTAGGTTTGAAATCAAGGCTAGATAATCGGGTAGCAAAGATATTGGGACAATAAAATATGTATTATGTAATCTTTAAATAAAAGCTTTTAGAATCGTTTTGAATTTGTACCTAAATGTTTAAAAAAAATTTAATTATGTTGAGGTGTATGGAAATGCCATGTAAAAGACAATACAGTTGGATCCTCAGCTAGTGTTTTCTGGTCAGAGATAAACCTTTACGTAGCAAACAAGAGCGAGGTTAGTGGAGTTTTTAGAAATAGTTGCGGCATTGATCATCATTTTTTTTGTTTCCGGTCAGCACATACACGTGCACATTTCCAAATATTTTGTACAGGCTTTTATAGGCCTTACTTTAAATCTAAAAGTGGTGTACAATATAAAAGTGGTGTACAATATAAAAGTGGTGTACAATATAAAAGTGGTGTACAATATAAAAGTGGTGTACAATATAAAAGCTGATTCTAGACAACAAGGTATAAGAACCAAGAATATTTCATGAGAAAATGTAAAAGTCAAATTAAAGTAAATCTTCATAAGATTGAATGCCATGCTTTTAAGGTTTCAATTATAATATGAGTCTTAAACTTTTGAAAGCACGAAAAGATATAAAGCCCATTCCTGAAGCATTTAATCAGTTCTTAACCCTTCAGGTTTAATATTTGTACTAATCTTTAACACTTCTTTAATTCGCTTCAAGAATTTACGGATGGTTGAAAGCTTCATCAAAGGTCTTGAATTTTGATATTAATGTTGTGAATACTTAATCTTGACTGTGTTACTTATTCAGTTGTCGTCGTCGTATATATCAATACAATAAAGACTAAAATCTATTTCAATTTTGATTTTTAACCAATCCTCTAAAGAACAGAAACACATATAAACATATAACTCAAGAAAAGTTATCAATTAACAGCTTCTGTTTGTTAACTTTTAAACTTGTAGTAAAAAAGGATTATTAATAAAAGTCGTCTTCATTGGATTATAATGGCCAACCACTGTAGACTATCTAAACAAAAAGCTCCGGATGTTAAAGTAGTTGTATCCGAATGCAAATTAAATATTGAATTATATCAAATTATTGATCAAAGATATAGAATTTGGAAGTTTTTGTTGTGACTTCTAAATCTAGACTTCTATAGCATAGCACAAAACTATCGGCTCTGAGCTCAGGATTTTAAAGTATTTGCATCCAAATACTGTTTAAACTATATACAGGTTGTGATCACAGATCCTGCCCTGGATTCAGGAATGGATAAAAGTCTGTGGGTGGATATTTCTCAGAGCAGAGGGAGGATTCAGGTTAAGAAAATTAATAACTTGTTGGGAATTAACTGGACTAAGGAGTAAGGATCAGTCAACTCGTGTCAAATCTATCATGTATTCTGAGACTCACTTCAAGTAGAGAATATAACATTTTTCTTCAATTATTTAAAAACTTTGTAACGCAACATAAAAATTTAGGGTTATTACAGCAACAAATTTAATTTACTGATCGTGAAAAGACGGATCTTCCACCTCAAAAGTCTAAACAAAATTAATTTGTTTTCGTCTCAAAATTAAGCTCGAACCAGAAATAGTATATTATGGATTTTAATTAAATTTTATTCTTTTACTTAGATCATAAAAATATGATATAAAATATTCATAAAATACATATATATTACTTTTTTATTAAACAATTAACAATAAACAAATGTACACCCTTAGACTGTATAAAGCACAAACGCCAAGATTCTTATGTACTGTATAAACTTACAGTACACGCCTTCGGTTCGGTATTACTTACACACACTCTTTTGGTACAGACATGACGTCTCCACACCCTGGAACTAACTGATTACTCAATCAACTCAAGATCTAATTTTCTAATTTGTTTTACATGGAAACTATAAACCTCTGGAATAGGAAGACGACTTTTAGACTCAAGTTATGACATTTAATAGATCCAATGAACGTGAGACACAGCAATTATGCAATGTAAACAGACCTGTTTCACTCAATTAGGAGAGAAGTATTAGGACATCATTTATTAGCATTACCAATAATCTTTTAATTAATTAACCCGTTTTAGGTGGTAATAGTTAAATTTATGGACTGAATGTACAGTGTACAATTTTTTAGGCATCGTGCAAGTCCTTGTATGGAGTACCTCCACCTGAGATACGCTGGTACATAGATGAATTAAGGAACAGGGTAGGTTCTATATTAAAAAAATCTGTACAATATACAGAGAATATATTTCATATGTTCTATATAAAAGAATATGTACAGTGTACAAGGAACATGGTAGGTTCTATATTAAAGAATATGTGGTTGTACTGTGTACAAGGAACAGGGTAGGTTCTATACCAATGAATATGTACAGTGTACAAGGAATATATGGAAAGTTCTATATTGAAGAATATGTGGTTGTACAGTGTACAAGGAACAGGGTAGGTTCTATACCAATGAATATGTACAGTGTACAAGGAATATATGGAAAGTTCTATATTGAAGAAGATGTGGTTGTACAGTGTACAAGGAACAGGGTAGGTTCTGTATAAAAAAGGATTTACAATGTACAAATAAAATGTTAACTGGGTAGGATTTAAAAACATTTTTACCACAAAACAAAAGCTTTTTACAACGTACAGCATAGTAAATTAGCAATATTCATTCAAAAATGTGTTTCTCCAAATTTATCATAAAATTTATCCTAGTTTAGAATTATGAAATTGTCTAAATACAGTGAATCCCAAATTTAAAGAGTTTTTCATAATGTCGTATTCTCATTATATTTAAGATCAAATGCCGCGGAAAAATGAGTTTACTACAATCAATTGCGGTCCTACATATTTCAGAGCTCTTAATTTACCTTGAATCAAAAGTAGCAAGCAGTTTCTTAAGAATCATCAAAAAACTTATGATTCTCTATACAATAATAAATTGACATATTTTCATAATTCGCATTCAACCCCTTTGAACATCTCAGCAGCGTTATTTTGTGATGAAGCATAACCGCTGTCATTGCCACAAACTCTGATTTTCTAATCACTATATCTTTGGAACCAAATGTTGCAGACCTTAGATATTTCAAACTATGAATTCTGTTAGATCAAATAATCTGAGTTTGAAATATCAAAGGTTTACAGCATCAAGTTCTAAAAATATTGAGGTTTAAATATTTGATTTTGTTCCAAAGTCTCAACTCCTTTAAGACGAGATTTCATGCGCTCTTGCTATGTATTCTTTTATGTGAGACCACATTGAGGAAATCTCATGAAACGTTTTACATATTTAATAGCTCGTAGATGATTTTTGTGACAAACTGTATAAATTAATATAAAGTAGTAGTCTATATTTGTTTGTTTGTATGTCCGATCAAAACTAGAATTTTGATAAGGAACTCTTTATATAACCAGGGGCAAGAGATGTTCTTAGATTGGTTTCAAAATGTCTAAGTTGAGAGGGTTGAATATTTCAGAGAAAGCAAAACTAGGTTCCCAAGCTAGTATCTAATAAATATTTAACTGTTCAGATTTCTACTAGAGATGCTACAATAACCTCCACAACCAGCTCAACAGGGGAGTCCGTAACTTCAACCATATCAATGGATTTAGATGAAATGATGTAAGTCTTAAAAAAAGATAATAGTTCAACTTAAATGTAAAATATCTACCAACTTTATTTAACCTTTGGTACGAAAAAAAAATAATTTCGCCTTCTGACTTTTTTCTTTGTTTGATTGAATTTAAGATTACAAAAGAATCGGATTTCGATTAAAAGAAAATGAACAAAATTTAAAATAGAGTATACACAAATTTTCAACTTTATATAAACTATATGAACATGCCTGCTATAATAACTATATATAAACTATATGAAAATGCCTGCTATACTAACTATATATAAACTATATGAATCCTGCTATACTAACTATATATAAACTGTATGAAAATGCCTGCTATACTAACTATATATAAACTATATAAAAATGCCCAGGCCTGTAGCTAATGTGAAGATATTGACAATTATAGATTAAGTTCTTACGGTGTTCAACCGGATCAAGGTTACTTCTCATTTGCTCTTGGATGCTTTCCAGAACAAGGAAACTACTTCCAATCCCAGGTACTAAAATACAGTCATAACCAGAAAACTCCAAAATATGAAGACGACTTTTAAACTTAAGATATGCATTTAAATAGTCAAATGAGCATGAGACACAGCAATTGTGTAGTGTAAACAGACCTGTTTTACATAATTAGAGATGTGATAAGTAACTAGTCTTTATACCTAATTTTAGTTTGAAAAAAATGAATTCTTTTTAAAAATTCAATCAACTTCAAACATATCTTTTGTTCAAATTATATTTGTTTGTATAGAGTGGAGTTTTAAATCCTGCTGAGGTTATGGTATTTGGGAAGAGTTCAGGAGAAATATTTCTTCCAGTATCATTGATCATCCTTCTTCAAACCGTTCTCATTACAAACATTTTATCTTGAATTACACCATGTACAAATACTTAGTTCAATAGTAAACTGTGTCATGTATAACCAGTAAAATATAGTTTTTTTTTTGACGTCATTGAATTTACCTGTACAGAGAAAACCAACCACTTTTTATTTCGCAGATTTATTTGTAAAATTTTGCAATCATTTTACAGAAATAAAAGCATAAACTTGCTTAAAAAATGGGAATGCAAATTTCCAGTCCATCATTTTAACAATGTGTAATGTACACACAATAATTCAGCCCTGCTTCTGGTTTTTGATTAATTTTATGCCCCCCCCCCCCCCCTCCCACACAAAGTCTAAGAGTGAAGATTCAAATACTCAATCAATTCCTCTTGCAAAAAAGGTATAACTCATGGGCGAATTTCAGTTTATTTTATAGGTTATGGGGGGGGGGGGGCAAGAATTTAAAATTTGCCAATTTTTTTCTAATCCCAACCCCCTTGGAAAAAAGGCTCTTTACGATCTTTATCAAATTCAGGGGAAGAAAGTTCCAAATCGTAGTTATGTTCCAAACATGACACTGAGTACAGGCTTGGGCACAATCAACGTTTTTGTTACTCTTCCTGTGCGGAGAGCAAACATCGATTAAAAAAACTATTTCCAACATATTATTAAGCACAGCGATAACTTCAAATAATACTATTTACCTTTTTTCTAAAATTAAAACTGTAAGTGCTCGTTCATTTTCAATAAAACCATTTTCAAAACAATTCAAAGCTTTCCATTTTCGCACATATCACAAATTTGAATCTTGAAATCGTTTTGGAACATAAACCAACTTTCCTAAAAATCCGTAATTTGAAAATATTCAAGAATTCAGAACAAAACACACACTTTCATAATTTACAGAATAGTTTGAATGGTGAGTGAAGATGATTTCAAGTTTTCTCCATTTTTGATAAAAAAATTCCCACATTTTTCTGTTTGATTTTATGCTAATAACAATATAATATTAATATTACAATTTTTAATTTTTATACAATTTGTTACTTTTTGAAATAACAGAACAAATATATTATTTACAGTTTTACTGTTTCATATTTAAATTCTACGTATGTAAAAAACTTGTTTTGTTACCATGGATTGAAATCTGTGAAATGTCTCAAAATCGTGAAATGTTCCAAAACATGTTGTTTCACCAAAACTTAGCATTTTAACTTAATATTTATTCATAATAAAAAATAGCAATATGTTGACAAATATATTAAAATTATTGTTGAATTAACTTTCAAAATATTGATATCAAGATTAAGCTTTTCAGTAGAAGTTGAATTGTTCCCCCCCCCCCCGTCATTATTGTTAATAATTTCCTTCCACGTGGGCCAGCTATTTATCGCAAACTAGCTATTTTTGTCACTAATTCCCTTTTTACTACATTTTAAGTCATTTATGCATCACTTACTGATGCTGCAAACATTATTTAATATTTTCCAAAAAAATGTTGAAAAAATATTTTTTGTCATTAAGCCGTCTAGAAGTCCAAGCAGTGTATGCCTGCGCTACAGTAAAGGTTCTAAACTATTCTAGTTCTCTTCCCTAAGAACTCTATGAAATACAGGAAACTTTTCTAAAATATCTGATTTCTCTTCTCCAGTGGCAATGGGAGAAACTTTTTTAAATTGTTAGTGTGAAATTATGTTTTTTTTTCTCTTCTTTTAAGCAACTTGGGAAAGTAATAATATCACCATTCAGAAATAAAGGGAAAGAAATATCTTTTGATTTTTCTTCCCCAGACTCGTATAGTTAAAATGTTTCTTCTTCTTTTAATATAGTTTTTCTTCCCTTTCCTCCCTTTTTCTTCCTTTTTTCTTTTTTTTCTCTTTTCTCCCTTTTTCTTGAATTTTCTTCTTCGGCTGAATTCTTTCCCCCCCAAAAAAAATTTTTGAGTGGAAATCTGTTTTCAAATTATAAGATTTATAGAAATCTTAAGACTTCAAAATTGTAAATAATTGGCTTACTTTTTTATATCTCATTTAATTTTTGATGAATTTTGATGAAATTTTGGAAAACAATAGAATAAACATTTTTCCAACAATTTCTCAAAAAATTTTATTTTGTCAAAAAAAATTTGGTTTTGCGGATTTTGTTTTACCTTCCGAAATATTTTTTAATTTTTAAATGCCTCACACCCGAACAGAAAAAAAAATTTGAAAATATTGTCCAAAACATTGATAATCCTGTTTTTTTAACACAACCGCTTTTAGGTCTAATTTATGGGAACATTCAGACTTCAGTTACCAGTATCCAAGACATGGCTTGTGTGAAGAAGATTGAACTGAACAACTGTGGGTTTCTCTAAAATATTTTCAAATATCAGATATTATAATTTTTTAAGTCAGCTGTAACAGATCAAACTGTTCCTATCTTGGAGAAAATATCTGTCCTAATAATTTCAGGTAACCCTTTGTTTGAAGATATGTATGTCCGATCTACAACCGTACCCTCTGATTCAACCTTCGTCTGAGAAAATTATTGTTCTTGTTGTTATCTGATAAAAGTTTTTGATTATTCATGTTGTTCCATCAGAAAATTGATTATTTTTGATAGCATCAGTTCGTTTTAAGTTAAAGTGACTTAAAATCTATTTAGAAAAGACAAAAAAGAAAATAAACAGAATTTCTATCTTTCTAAAGGTACCATTGTGAATCCAGCATGTAACGTTTGAAATTAGGTCAAAAAATCACTTTACGCTGGAATTCAGAAACTACAGCGTATAATCGAGAGAAGTCCATTGATATCATTCCTCTCTTCAAGGGATTCACCGGCAATCTATAGTAGTTGAACTGAGAATGTATTATTGGGGAGACATTTTTCAGGATTCATTTGAGACATATAAAACGATAAGACTATTAATGTTTCCTAGAATGGGATTAAATATGATCTTGCAGGGACGGCTAAGGTTCATAATGTTGCTTAGAATGGGATAAAAATCCTATCTTGCAGGGACTGATAAGATTAATAATGTTGCTTAGAATGAGATAAAAACCTTATCTTGCAGGGACAGATAAGATTAATAATGTTGCTTAGAATGAGATTAAAACCTTATCTTGCAGGGACAGATAAGATTAATAATGTTGCTTAGAATGGGATAAAAATCCTATCTTGCAGGGACGGATAAGATTAATAATGTTGCTTAGAATGGGATAAAAATCCTATCTTGCAGGGACGGATAAGATTAATAATGTTGCTTAGAATGGGATAAAAATCCTATCTTGCAGGGACGGATAAGATTAATAATGTTGCTTAGAATGGGATAAAAATCCTATCTTGCAGGGACGGATAAGATTAATAATGTTGCTTAGAATGGGATAAAAATCCTATCTTGCAGGGACGGATAAGATTAATAATGTTGCTTAGAATGGGATAAAAATCCTATCTTGCAGGGACGGATAAGATTAATAATGTTGCTTAGAATGGGATAAAAATCCTATCTTGCAGGGACGGATAAGATTAATAATGTTGCTTAGAATGGGATAAAAATCCTATCTTGCAGGGACGGATAAGATTAATAATGTTGCTTAGAATGGGATAAAAATCCTATCTTGCAGGGACGGATAAGATTAATAATGTTGCTTAGAATGGGATAAAAATCCTATCTTGCAGGGACGGATAAGATTAATAATGTTGCTTAGAATGGGATAAAAATCCTATCTTGCAGGGACAGATAAGATTAATAATGTTGCTTAGTATGGGATAAAAATCCTATCTTGCAGGGACGGATAAGATTAATAATGATGCTTAGAATGGGATAAAAATTCTATCTTGCAGGGACAGATGAGGTTAATAATGTTGCTTAGTATGGGATACAAATCCTATCTTGCAGGGACGGATAAGGTTAATATTGTTGCTTAGAATGGGATAAAAATTCTATCTTGCAGGGACAGATTTTTCAATTTTACAAGTTGGTATATTTTGAAATATCAGAAAAGAATATATTCTTGACACTTTTATGGTTTCATAATTTAGATTCTACCATGCGGGAAAAACTTGTTTTGGTATCAAATGGTCACGTGGATTTAACGGTTCTGTAAATATTTCAGAAAGCTGTGACTTTCGATCACAATTTGACCCATTAAACACAATTTTTTAGTCTTTTTCTAAGATACTTTTTTGTCGGCATATGCATTTTGAAGAAAAAAGTATAGAATAAACAAATCCGTAAGTTAAAAGCTTGTTGAATTAAAGACCAAAAAAGGTTTGATTTCAAATGTAAGAAACCAAATGCTGTTCACTCTGGTTAGTTCGGGGTGTGGTGTAAATGCTTGAAAGTATTATTGATTAAAATCTGTGAAATGTCTCAAAAGGGTGACATGTTCAAAACGTGTTTTGCGCCCAAATTTTGAATTTGCTTCAACAATGTAACATGTTCTAAAATAAATTTGATCATCAAAACTTTGACCGGGTGTAGTATTTAAATTTTTGTTATAGAAATATAGCCTTACCTATTTTAAATTAAAGTATGCGGGAGGTTTAATACTTTATTTTAACTTTGCACATTTGGCCCAAACCTGACACTCAGTGTCAAATCATGGTTTGGAACTTTCTTCCCTTGAACTAGAACTTGCTTTAATAGTCTTAAAGAAAGAAACACATCTAATCTAACATGGTTTGTACATGAAAACTATTTTTAATTAATTATCTCTGTATACCTCTAAAATAAATTTTAATTAGATATCTCTGTATACCTCTAAATCAAATTTTAATTAAATATCTATGTATACCTCTAAAATAAATTTTAATTAAATATCTATGTATACCTCTAAAATAAATTTTAATTAAATATCTATGTATACCTCTAAAATAAATTTTAATTAAATATCTCTGTATACCTCTAAAATAAATTTTAATTAGATATCTCTGTATGCCTCTAAATAAAATTTTAATTAAATATCTCTGTATACCTCTAAATTAAATTTTAATTAGATACCTCTGTATACCTCTGAAAACTTAAAAAGAGTTCTTATAGCAATGTTATAGCAATAGAATGGGGAAAAATTAGCCGTTTTTTATTGAAATCTTTGGTTATTGAATTATAACTTAATGAAGAATATTTATTGAACATTTTAAGTCGTTAACAAGTGATAAAGGTAAATCATTTAACAAAAAATATAGTTTTCTTATTAAATTGCAGGCACTGTGTTTACCCTCCTAAAGCGTTAAAACAATGATCCATCCTTGATCCATCCTTGATCCATCCTTGATCCATCCTTGATCCATCCTTGATCCATCCTTGATCCATCCTTGATCCATCCTTGATCCATATCCTTGATCAATTCTTGATCCATCCTTGATCCATCCTTGATCCATCCTTGTCTATCCTTGATCCATCCTTGATCCATCCTTGATCCATCCTTATCCATCCTTGATTTATCCTTGATCCATCCTTGATCCATCCTTGATCCATCCTTGATCCATCCTTGATCCATCCTTGATCCATCCTTGATCCATCCTTGATCCATCCTTATCTATCCTTGATCCATCCTTGATCCATCCTTGATCCATCCTTGATCCATCCTTGATCCATCCTTGATCCATCCTTATCTATCCTTGATCGATCCATCCTTGATCCATATTTATCCATCCTTGATTTATCCTATTCTTGATTTATTCCTAGTGGTTTCTTTTATTGATTTTTACTACAATAGTATCTTGTTATAAAACAACTAATATTAATTTACTTTCGATTTTTCATTGTTTATTAGATTTCTTCTTAATTTAACAGTAACTCTTTCAGACTTATTCTTGACTAATTTCAAATTCCAACTAGACATAAACATGAGGATATCTGCTCTTCTTCTTACTTTTCTTTTCTACCGCGTCCTTCATGTTAAAGGTCAAGAGCAGGAAGTTTCTGATGTAGAATCAGAGGCCATTCCTGCTCTAGATAATAGAGCAGAGAGTACAAAGGAGAAAGAGGTTTCTCTGTTAGGATCAGAAGACATTCGTGCTCTGAATAATAGAGCAGAGAGTAAGGAAGATCAGGAGAACATTGACGGGAATGAGAAGAACAAAATTGAAGATGAGGATGAAAAATCTTCAGTAGAGGTGGATGATAAAAATCCAGAATTAGAATTAGATGATAATGATAATTCTGATGATAAAAATTCAGAATCAAATGGGGATGATGATGATGATGATTATGATAATGATGATTTTGATAAAAAAGATTCAGATTCAGATGAGGACGATGATGATGAAAATGATTCGGATGATAAAGATTCAGAATCAGACGAGGACCATAGTGATAATGATGATGATGATGATGATGACGATGATGAAGATGAAGATGAAGATAAAAAGTACTCTAACAGCAATGAGGATTCAGATGACAATGATGGTAAAAGTCTAGATGGGGACAGGAGTAAGGAAGATGACAAAAATCTTAATAAAGGTGAGTTTCAGTAGAAAATTCAAAGAACGTTTAAAGGAATTCAGTCGGTGTCACACACTTTGATTTGCTAATCCCTTTATCTTTTGAACCAAATGTCGTAGGCCTTAGATATTTTAAACTATGAATTCTGTGAAATCAAATAATCTAAATTTGCACTATCGGGTTGCATAGATATAAGGATTAGAGAAACTTTTCGTTTATGACAAAGACTCAATTCCTTCAAATAAACAAACACAGTGAAAAGCTTTCTTTTATTATGAGGAATGATAATGTTACGAAGCTAAAAGTGTTGTTTTTCCCTTTCAAATCTCGCCGTAAACAATTAGATCAAAATAATACAAAACAAAAAGAATATATTTCATGCGGAGTCATTTTCAATTTAATTTTCAGGGCAAAATCATCCCGCGGCCATCTTTCGTATATTTTTGCTTTTTTAGGTTTAAAGGGATTGAAAGCGTATTTTGAAGTAACCCTCCATGCTAAGATGACAACGCCCAAAAGTTTCCCTTAAAAGCTTTGTCTGATCAAATATGAATTAGATATCAACATTTAAAATGTAGAAAACTGATTATTTTCAATTGTGGTTTTTCAACTAAAGTGACTTGTGCATTTCTACTGCAGGGAAACATAAACGAATTGTCAGATTTAGACACTTTCAAACTGGAAAAACGAAATATTATTGATCATCGTTGTAAATCGGGCATTCCCGTCAATTGAAATTACGCGGACAATTCCTTTAATCTAGATTTCGCACTTTATTTCCTCTGCATTTGTCCTTTTTAATTTCAACTGATCCTACATTTCGAGAGGATCATGTCCGATTTCCAACAGTACCCTTGATTAATGAGGAAGATATCGCAGTTTTGTTCTCGCTTGAACAGTGTTTAATTCTCTTAAATAGAAAAATTTCTGTGGAAAAATAATTTTTTTTGAAGAGAAACACAGATGGCTTATTCATTCTTGATCAGAGAGATCAGACAAAGCTTTAAAGGTACCAATATTAATCGGACACGCCACTCTATAATTGGAGAGTCGCTTAAAGGAAGTGTTCGATAAAAATGAAAGGAGGTATCCGGTATAGGCTTACGTCGAAAACATAATATCAACTATATACGAATGCTTCGAAATAAATTGATGATTATAGATAATAGAAAATATTTTTTATTTTTCATGATCTGAGAGTTAGTTTTGAAAACATTCATTCCTGTTTCGAGGGTTTTTGATAATGAAGACGACATTTTCATGTTTTTCATGAATGTGCGAAAATCCAGCGCCAGCGAAATATTATTCAAAAACAAAATCAAAAATATTATGAAATATTAACTATATACGAATGCGTCGAAAAATTATCGATGACTATTGTTTGTAATATCTGAATGATTTGTTTGAGATTGATTTGATTTTTCACGATCCAAGTCCAATATTGCAACTTTCTGGTTTGTTTGGGCACTACGTTCTTCGGTATTAGTCGTTTTTAACAATTTTCTCCTTATAGACGCAACAGATAGAAGTACGATTAGTAGCGATGTCCATCGAATATTTTTCGACCCCTTTCATTTTTCGCGAACACTTCCTTTAATAGTAAGTCTACACTCTACAGTCCCTTTCACTTTCTAACTTCTCTTACAGTTTGGAGTCCTTTAATTTAAAAGTCTTGTTTTAAACAAATATTTCAAATTTATATTTCAATATTCAGATCAGACCGTGATTTCATCAGATGCTTCTCAGCAGCAGGATGTCGAGCTGTGATGTTTAAATTTATAATAATTTGTAATCTGTGGAAATAATTTTTTTTTTTTAAATGAATCAAGTCTTTTCCGCAAACTCTAATCTAAACTCTTTATCCTTCGCAACCCAATGTGGCGGATATTAGATATTTCAAACTATGAATTCTGCTAAATAAATTAAATTCAAGTTTGAATTATCAAATGCTTACACGATTGTGCTTTTAATACAGGGTGTCCCAAAAACATGGGAATTCAGTGACGAATTGGATATCGTCTTTGTTATGAATTAGCATTGTAATACCTAATTTCAAAGCCATAATATTATTATGTCTTCTAGAGTTTATTTTATGAAAAGGGTAAAAGACTGTAAAGATGTGTCTATAATGTCTCCGCAAGATGAACAGTGAAGACGGACAAGTTTAGTCTGTTTGTATACTGCAATTTTCTTGTTTTACTAAGTACACCCTTATGCAGTCAGAACATAAACAAACAAAATGTGAACATAGCAGACGAAACTCTTACAGATTACAGCTTTCTCAGTAGGTATACTAAATCAAAGAATTATCTTAAAAGACGATATCGAAGTCGTCACTAAATTCCCATGTTTATTGGGACACCCTGTATATTCGGATAAAAGGAAGCTTTGCATAAACCCATATGACTATGATTGATTTTGCGCCTTAATTAATATACTAGCAAACCTGGCACATATATTTTGTGAATTTGAAACTGATCTGTTCTAAAGTTTTAACAACTTTTGTTTTCAATCTAAATTGTCTTTGACAACATTTGATTTTCTTGATGTGCTTTTGAAGTTTATAATGAAATTTTGTATTCACTGGATCTTATTGTGCTCTTCAAGTTGGCTATAAAATTTTTTTGTGCAATGAAAGATGAATCAATGTTTAAGGTTTGAACTTGGTTTGTGAGATTCAAATAAGCAACGACCCTTTGTGGTAATTTCGATTATCAATGTATTTATATTTCTCCCACAAGTATATCTTTTATTTGCAGCGTAAAAATACATTATAAATAATTTTTTGTAGGCAAGCACAACCAGAGGCGTATTCAGGGGGGGGGAACTATGGGGGCTAAGCCCCTCTGGATCAGTGAAATCTATTGATTGTCGGGGGTTTTCAGGCCCCAACGGGTGCTGAGCTAAGGTCGTATTTTGAGTGGTCCCCCCCCCCAGTGGCGTACAAGAGGGGGAGCCGCGCCCTCCACGCCCTCCTCTACACGTGCCCCCCTGAGAGGCTGAGGAGAGGCACCCATGTGGGAGGCTCTTTTAATATTAATTCTGCTTGTATTTCCCTTCCTGAGGCCTGGCACAGTGGCGTACCTAGGAGGGGGCAGTAGTCCTCTTGCCCCCCCTGGGAGTTCCAGACGGGGCCCTGCCCCCCCCCCCCCCC